GGCTGAATACCAAATCACTCAACCACCCAGCAACATCCACAACACCAACCCAGCCATCCACTTAGCCACCCATCCACCCAGCCACCCAGCCAAGCCACCCACCCAGCCACCCACCCAGCCACCCACCCAGCCAAGCCACCCACCCAGCCACCCACCCAGCCACCCACCCAGCCAAGTCACCCATCCACCCAGCCAAGCCACCCACCCACCCAGTCATCCACCCACCCAGCCAACAACCCATCCACCAACCCATCCACCAACCCACCCACATATCCACAACACGGACCCAGCCAGTCACTTAGCCACCCACCCCCTCTCCGTGCAACACATCCACCGCCGCGTTATCAAGGCTCCTCATCAGTGCCGGGTGATCGACTCTGTGGTCGTGATGTAATAATTGACCCATTACACTGTCAGGCCCGATGAAAGGAGCCGACTGGCAACATCTGAAATGTGCGTGGGTGTCTGAGATGGGGATGGGGGTGGTGGTGGTGGGTGGAGATGGGCGGTAACGGGGGAGGACAGCGGTGATGTTGCGAGGATGAAAATCATGTAGGAGTGGAGGTGGTGGGAGGGGGTGGAGGGGGGGGTATATTATACATTGCTGAATATTTTTTTTCGTTATCCAGGAAACCCACACTGAGTCACGGGGCTCCTGTTCAGGAGGATCCTGCTGAAATGTTTTATTTTTTTATACGTTTTCAGCCGATTAATGAGCTGTGTTGATTAGACACGTGGGCAGGAAATCGGAGCACCCGTGTGAAAACCCACGCCTTGCACGAGGGGGCAACGCTGTATCACCGTACAGATGGATACAGCTGGCTATAAGTCCACTTGCTGTACCACCACCTCCTGGCTAGCTAGGTCACCTCTTCGCCGCATTCGGGAAGGGAGATTCACAACATCGTTGTGGTGATCCACCACCCCCTCGCTGCTGTCTCCACAGTGCTGGATGCTTACAGACAGCCACGTGCAGTGTAGCTACCACCACCGCCCGTCATATCATCATCAGCAGTATCCACTGCTGGATGAAAGCCTACCGATGCTGCCTCACCAACACTCGCATTCCTGCGCCGTCGCGATCCGTCTCGCCTCCTGCACGTGGACCGATCCCGTCGCTCCGTCTCCGCGGAGGTCGAGCTCTCAGATCGCGTTCTCTCCTTCGGCTGCCGTTCCCTCACCAGTCTCGACCATCGGCCACAAGCGTCCGTTCGAGTGTCGGGCGCCACGGTGGCTAGGAGATGTTAACTACCTCGCCTGGTATATAGGAGGTCGTGGATTCGATCGCGACCCTGACGCCTGCTGCTGTATTGTTGGAGATGGCGGTGTCTCTCTCTCTCTCATGATCATCACGGTGGCTATGAGATGTTAACTACCTCGCCTGGTGTACAGGAGGTCGTGGATTCGATCGCGACCCTGACGCCTGCTGTATATTTGGAATTTGCATGCCTCTCTCCCCGTGGTCATGTGGATTTTTCTCCGGGTCCTCCAGTCCTTTTGGGTTTCCCTCCGCATTTAGAAACGTGCGTTTGGAGTATTTGGTTGCTGCTATAAGTGTCCACGTGATAAGCCACTTCTTCGTTGAGCTATCATTTGTGGCCAGGTCGCTTCTGGAAAAGAGCCGTATAGCTCAGTGGGCCTCACCTGGTAGAATAAAAATAGTTTATAGTTTTAAATAATTTATAGATGCACTCGGCAGCCGGCTGTCTCCGGAATGACATGCAGCTTGGAGCGTTTCACTCAGCCCATCAGCCCTCCGGGGTCGATAAAAATTCGTATAACTTTTTTTTTTCGGGAAGTCCAACAGAGACTCGCCCTCTCTGCCAGAGGAACATGGAATTTCCACCCCTGACTCAGGGCAGTAAACGAGAGATGAGAACCAATGCCTCAACGCTCATCGTGAGCAGGAGCTCACTCCGACTTTGAATCTGTATCAGGTTGGGGAAGATATGCAGGTCTGAATTAAAACGAAAAACCTGATAAAGCAGCAAATAATCAAGGCAGTATTGTTACCGTCATTCAGATTAAAATGTTAGAATGAATACAGAGTGCTACTTAATAACTGCGAACGTATTTATTTTTTTCTGTGGCTCCATCGTTCGTGAGTTGTGCTCCCTGTAGTACAAATGTCCCCACTTAACCCCCCCCCCCCCCCCGCCTGCTCCCAACTCCAGGCCTGGCTGCGAGCGACCTGCTGATTACGGGGACTCGTGCGGCAGCACATCAAAGAGTTCTATTTTTTTTTACTCCATCTCCGCAGGCGCCGTCCTCGGCTTTTTTCGGGCCAGGCAAGCGAGCGGGGGGCGGACTGAATCATGTGCGCGGCGGTGACGCGGCCGCTTTGACATCGGCGTGACGTTAATGACCTCGCGCGGCAAAGGTCGCGACCTTTGCCGCTAAGGATTCGATCATGGGTCACAATGCCCCTGGGCAGGGATCATGACCCCTGGGGTGGGGGTGAGGGTTAGGTGCGATGCAACCTTTGAATCAGAATATTTGGACTGGAGGAATCCGATGAGCTACGAAGCTTTTTCACAATTGTCCGCAACGGGTGGGGATAGCAAGCTGTACCAACATCCACCTGCTGTTGTTACCCCCCCCGCACCCCACCTCCCCCCCACAACCGAAATATCTCCTCTCCCCACGCCCCTCGTGTATCTTCCACGCACAATTGCACCGCCACCACCGCCACCAACGCCACACAAAGCCCCGCATGCCGGGGCTGTCGAGAATTGTTATGCACACCGTGACCCAGGCCTGGCACCCGTCCGTGTTTACGAGCGCTGAGAGAAGGACAGGGGCGTGGTGACGATAGATAGGACAGGCAAAACGGAACGATCGATAGTCAGATGGATAGACGGATGGATGGAGATGGAGGGGGATAGACTGACAGGCAGACGGACGGACAGGCTGCAGCAGGGGCAGGCTGCAGCAGGGGCAGGCTGCAGCAGGGGCAGGCTGTAGCAGGGGCAGGCTGTAGCAGGGGCAGGCTGTAGCAGGGGCAGGCTGTCGCAGGGGCAGGCTGTAATAGAGACAGGCAGGCTGTAGCAGAGGCAAGCTGTAGCAGGGGCAGGCTGTAGCAGGGGCAGGCTGCAGCAGGGGCAGGCTGTAGCAGGGGCAGGCTGTAGCAGGGGCAGGCTGTAGCAGGGGCAGGCTGTAGCAGGGGCAGGCTGTCGCAGGGGCAGGCTGTAATAGAGGCAGGCAGGCTGTAGCAGAGGCAAGCTGTAGCAGGGGCAGGCTGCAGCAGGGGCAGGCTGCAGCAGGGGCAGGCTGTAGCAGGGGCAGGCTGTAGCAGGGGCAGGCTGTAGCAGGGGCAGGCTGTAGCAGGGGCAGGCTGTAGCAGGGGCAGGCTGTAGCAGGGGCAGGCTGTAGCAGGGGCAGGCTGTAGCAGGGGCAGGCTGTAGCAGGGGTAGGCTGTAACGAGTGACCAGCAGGAAGGGAGCTCCCGGGTGTAAAGGTCGTCGTCGCCGTGTTTCGTCACCGCTGGATCATCATCGACCGCACGCGCTCCGAGCGTGCCGCACGCAAAGTTCCGTAAACACGCGGGGGGGGGGGGGGGGACGCCGCGGGCTCGACCTCGACTCGAGCCCTCCCCGTGCCCCCTCCCTCTCCATCACCCCCCCCTGCCCCCCACCATCTCTAAAGAGAGAGCACATGTTCTGTTCCGGCCATGGGCAGTTCCGAGTCTTTTGGTGTCCCCTGAGGTTTTATTTTTGTCTCCGGTTTCAAATGTTCTGGCTTCACGCTCGACTCATGATGCGGGAAATGTGTGCAGTTACCTGAGCAGTAGGCGGAGCTACCTGGGCAGTGGGCGGAGCTACCTGGGCAGTGGGCGGAGCTACCTGAGCAGTAGGCGGAGCTACCTGGGCAGTGGGCGGAGCTACTTGGGCAGTGGGCGGAGCTACCTGGGCAGTGGGCGGAGTTACCTGAGCAGTGGGCGGAGCTACCTGGGCAGTGGGCGGAGCTACCTGGGCAGTGGGCGGAGCTACCTGGGCAGTAGGCGGAGCTACCTGGACAGTGGGCGGAGCTACCTGAGCAGTGGGCGGAGCTACCTGAGTAGTGGGCAGGCTACCTAGACAGTGGGCGGAGCTACCTGGACAATGGGCGGAGCTACCCGAGCAGTGGGCGGAGCTACCTGGGCAGTGGGCGGAGCTACCTGAGCAGTGGGTGGAGCTACCTGAGCAGTGGACGGAGCTACCTGAGCAGTGGGTGGAGCTACCTGGGCAGTGGGTGGGGTTGGCATGTATTTAAGGCTCGGTTCAAAGGAAGCCCGACACTCTGCGTTCAAACCGGTCCAGCGTTTTCCTTGCGTTGAACCCAATGCTGCCGAAATTGTGCACCCCCAGAACGGGTCACCGCGAGCGTGTCTATCCGCTGTGTTGAATTCATGTCCTCAAGGGGCTCCCGGCACGTGGGGCGAAACGTCGGGCACCGTACACGCCGCGGCACGACCAGAAAACACATTGGGGATCGGCTGTATGTACGTATGTTGAATTTCTTTCGCACCGTTCGTAGCCACCATGTGTCCTGGTTGAGCCTCCCAGAAATTCGGTGGCTTTACGACTCCCCCCCAAGTTGGTGGGAGGCGGCAATATCAGGCACTGCAGTTAGGCCGCTGCGATTGGTGAACTACCGTTGCCTTACCCACAGAGTGTTACTTGTTTTATCGACCCTGGAGCAATGGTGAGTTAAGTCTCCCCCCCTCACCTCCCCGTAGCAGGGCTTGAACTCCTAACCTTCCGATTGTGCGCCGCTCGCTCTCACGCTGAGCAACCCAGCTGGCGGACAGCCAGACAGACACGGAGATAGACACACAGATAGAGAGATAGACCCACAGATAGAGAGATAGACACGCAGGGCTACACATCCGTTACTAAAATGCAAAATTGGACATGGGGTGGAGGTCGGGGGTGGTGATGGGTGCAAGAAAGGGCATTGAATTCCTGGCACCATGGCCCACGCCATCCACGCTTTGAGCTCCACGTGTCCCCTCCACTCACCACGCGTGGTCTCTCCCTCTGTCACGGCGTGGTCACGGCGCTGGGGGTACCCGCCCCTCCCCGTCCCTCTCCTTCCGTCTCTGTCCCACCGCTCTGCAAAGCACGAAGTCCTCGAAGGCACCTGCAGGGGGTGCGGGACAGCCCCCGAGGGAGGGGGGGAGACCCGTGTGGAGTGAGAGGCGAATTCGGCAGTAGTTCTGTAACATCACCTTCAGTGAGAGGCGAATTCGGCAGTAGTTCTGTAACATCACCTTTCAGGGCCATTATCTGGCACGGGAGGAGGGGGGTGGCATTGCATCGCGAGAATACGTCTCGTGACACAACACCGATAGGTCGATTAGAATACAATCTAATTGTGCTGTCAATATTATGAAACGTTAGAACGTACGCATGGACGTTGAACACCTTTCCAACGAGCCCTATTAATTGGACGTGACATCGCTTCACGCGGCCGGAGCTGACAGGTTAGGGTTGATTTTGTATTGGCGGCGGCGGCGGCCTGGGAAAGCCTTGATCGAGCAGTAGACAGAGCACAGCCGGTGACGACGACGGCGATGCTAAAATAGCAGCGGCCGGACTTCTGCACGGGATCCACAATGCACCAGATTTGCAAGACAGGATCCCAAAGAGAGAAGTTGATTTTTTGTTCTAAAGTTGTGGGTTCTTATTGTTGCTGTTCTTGAGAATTCCATTTCACAACCGCTTAGAAAATGCCCGCTCATGTACCAAGTCACGAAATTTGGCAGCGCTGCCGAGTGAATGATAAGAACACTCCAGGAATTTGGTCAAATCTCCAAGAACGTAACCCCCCCCCCTTCCGCCATAGCCTTCACAGACTGTTGAGGAAAGAGCTGTTAGCTAGCACCTATGAAAGCCGGCATGGCACCGGAGGAGGTGGACAGCCAGAACCACAAGTGATGTTTACACACCGCACCAGGTACTCATTTCAGGCTGAGTCGACCCAGGGGAAGCCCAGTGCCGGTTCAGATATTCGTCCCCGATGTTGGTCGTGAGCGGGAATCGAACTCAGGTCGCCGGGTTCACATAGCGCAGTGCGCTAACCACTGCACTACCGCTCCCCACATACACCACTTGCATCACGAACAAACACCACGCTTACACACCACACACTCCAACTAAACACACCATTCAGATACACACACAACCGTAGCACCACACCGTTGACAAAGCTCCCCCGTACAGCCTGAACACTCGGGGCAAGTGCTGTTGACGAGCGCCTACGAAGGCCGGAACGGCACACGAGGGAGTAGGTGACCAACACCACGCTGGGCCGCCTTTGTCTTCCCAGTGGCGATGTTTACACATCGCGCACCAGGTACTGATTCGAGGCTGAGTCGACCTAGGGGAGGCCCAGGACCGGTTCAGATAATCGTCACTGCCCAGTCGCGTCCTGCAAGAGCCTCCTCATCGGCAAGTCCAATCAGCCGCACATCCTCCCGTGCCACATCAGCCCATCTCTTTTCTAGCCCGTTCAGCCCCCCCTCTATCCGGCTAATCAGAAGCTGCTTGGGCCTGCAAGTGGGTGGACATTCGGGCTACATGGCCCAGCCAACGCAGCCTCGCCTCCCAGAGACGCTCACAGATGGGGGCCGTGTCCAGTTCTTGCAAGGATTTGTGAGCTCCTCGCACAATCCAGCCTGGTCGTGGGCAAGCCGGCCTGAATGTTTCCCACTGGCGCAGATGTTCCTTCAGAGGCGGGGGGGGTTTCCACGTTTCTCAAGCACGGAGAAGACCAGATCACAACCGTGGCCGAAAGGACCCGAAGCTTCGTGCGGAGCTGATCTGTCCCATGCCTTCCAATCACCCGAGTCCCACCGCTTGCGTTATGATCCAATCGGACATTAACGTTACGCCGGCTGGATGACTCTAGTACAGGAGGTCAAACGATGGCATCTTTGCACTGATCAGAGTTGCCTGCATCCCTCCACTGATGCTCAATTTTCAGCGGGGGCGTAAGCCACCACCACCACCAACCACCACCACCACCAACCATCACCACCACCATTCCTCGCCTCCGGTTGGAGGTGAGCCCACAGTAGCCTGGGATTCGGGGAATCCCACATCTGACCGCCACGCTCCCACGTCCCCTTCAAACCAATTACACACACGCACTGGCACTCAGACACGCGCGCGCAAAGGCAAAGACCCCCCCTATAGTCTCAACAGACTCTTGGGGCAAGTGCTGATAGACACAGCTATATACACCTGCACTGACACAGACAATGCACACATTGAGAGCTTACAACCCATACGTACTGTACAGTATACGTCGTAACACCCGCTGATACAAAGACACACTGACACACACCACTCACATATACACATCAATCACACATACACGCCCCACAACACACACACTCGCATGCACACCACTTACATAAAAACACAATCTACACCACTCACATACACAGCATTCATAACACACACACACCCCAACAACACGCACATATACACATCAATCACACATACATCCACATAACATTTACACAAAAACACAATCTACACCACTCACATACACAGCATTCATAACACACACACACCCCAACAACACGCACATATACACATCAATCACACATAACCCACACAACATTTACACAAAAACACAATCTACACCACTCACATACACAGTATTCATATAACACACACACACCACTCATACACACCACATGCCGAGCTACAGACACACAAACCCACGTACACAATAAACAACGCAGACACAATACACATGCACACATGCCTGTACACATAGCCACAAACACAACACACGCCACACACAACACAAAATACACACAAACCATACACAAGTCACAAGCCACACACACTCAACACAAGAGACAAAGACATACACAGACGTACACACACCACAAACCACACACATACACTACACACACACATTGCACACACACATAAAATACAAACGACATACACACACACGACACACCACAAACCACACACATACACAGACTACACACATACATTGCACACATACACCACACACACATAATATATAAACGACATACACACCACACACCACACACACGTGCGCTGGGATACACACACACACTAACGCACTGCAGCAACACACACACGGGTACAAAGGCAAAGGTCCCCCGCAGAGCCTTTGCCAGACTGTAGGGGCAAGTGCAGTGAGGCCCAACACCACGTCCTGTGCCGATGTTTCCACACGCCGCTCCAGCTACACATTTACGGCTGAGTCGACCTAGTGGAACGGGAATCGAACTCTGGGTCTTGGCATACATACACAAAGACAAATGTCACCCGTATAGACTCAATAGACTGTCGGGGCAAGTGCTGTTAGCGAGCGCCTATGAAGGCCAGGCACGCCACACGAAGGAGGGGGGTGGGGTAGGCGATGTTTACACGTCGCACCAGATACTCATTTGAGGCTGAGTCGACTTAGGGGAGGCACAGGACCGGTTCAGATCAGCCGGGTTGGTAGCGCAGCGGCTACCGCTTCTGGGGCACGCACACACGCACAAGACAAAGATCCCCCGTATAGCCTTAACAGACTAGTAGGGGCAAGTGCTGTTAGCGAGTAGCACCTATGAAGGCCGGCACGGTACACGAGGGGGTGGGTGGCCAGCACCACGCCCGACCGCCTTTGTCTCCCCAGTGGCGATGTTTACACACCGAACCAGGTACTCATTTGAGGCTGAGTCGACCTAGGCGAGGCCCAGGACCGGTTCAGATAATCGTCACTGGTGTTGGCCGTGAGCAGGAATCGAACTCGGGTGGCCAGGTTCGTAGCGCAGCGCGCTAACCACGACACCACCGCTCCCCATTACATACACGTACACACACGCACGTACATACGCACGTACACACACACACGTACACACACGTACACACACGCACGTACACACACGCACGTACACACACGCACGTACACACACACACGTACACACACACGCACGTACACACACACGTACACGTACACACGCACGTACACACACACGCACGTACACACACACACGTACACACACACACGCACGTACACACGCACGTACACACACGCACGTACACACACGCACGTACACACACGCACGTACACACACGCACGTACACACACGCACGTACACACACGCACGTACACACACACGCACGTACACACACGCACGTACACACACACACGTACACATACACGTACACACGCACGTACACACACGTACACACGCACGTACACACACACGTACACACACACACGTACACACACACGTACACACACACGCACGTACACACACACGTACACACACGTACACATACGTACACACACACGTACACACACGTACACACATACCGGGTTCTGTGTTCAAATCTTCCTTAGCGCGAGATGTGAAGTCGCAGCCTCCTTCTCAATGCTGATTGGCACGTACACACGTGTGTGGATGTGTGTGTGTGTGGATGTGTGTGTGTGTGGATGTGTGTGTGTGTGGATGTGTGTGTATGTGTGGATGTGTGTGGGTGGGTGTATGTGTGTGGATGTGTGTGTGTGTGTGGATGTGTGTGTGTGGATGTGTGTGTAGGTGTGTGTGTGAGAGGATGTGTGTGTGTGTAATATATATGAATGCGTGGGTGTATGCTGTACTTGGATGTATGCATGTGTTGTGTGTATACGTGTGATTGTGTGGCAATGCTTGTGAGGATATGTGTATATGGATGTGTCGGTGTCGCTTTGGATGTGTGTGAATGTGCCTGCTGTATATGGAGGTGTGTATGTATGTGATGTGTATATACTGTAATAGTATATGTGGGTATTCTTGTGTATGGATGTGTTTATAATATACGCGTATGCATTAGTATAGTGATGTGTGTGTTGATACAAACGTGTGTACGTGTACACACAGGCGCGTGCACTGTATCTGTAGAGATGTGCACATATCTATGTGTATATTGAACGTGAAGAATTGAGCGTGCGTAAACTGAATGTTATGGATCCGTGTGTGTATACCAATGTGTGTGTGTGTACACAGGCTTGTGTATACGCGTGTGTACGTGTCTGTGTGTATACTGTATGTGTGTAGACGCGCGCGTGTGTGTGTGTGTGCGTGTGAATCCAAGTCGCTCTGAGAGACCCAGCAGCAGCACGCCGCTCATCCGTTCATCATGGGCGCGCGTCACTCCCCCTCCTCCTCCACTCTCCCCCTCTCTCCTCCTCATCCTCCCACTCTCCCTCTCTCCTCCTCCTCCCTCTCTCCTCCTCCACTCTCCCCCTCTCTCCTCCCATTCCCCCTCTCTCCTCTTCCACTCTCTCCCTCTCTCCCTCTCTCCTCCTCATCCCCCCACTCTCCCTCTCCTCCCTCTCTCCACTCTCTCCGCCTCCTCCCTCTCTCCCTCTCTCCTCCCTCTCTCCTCCCTCTCCCACTCCTCCGTCTCCCCGCCGCGCTCGCATCTCGCTCCCCCGCTGCTCCCCACACCCCCCCCCCGACCTCCACCGCATCTGCGACAGGGAAGCTCCCAGCGCCCAAGAAGTGACAGATGTCACATGAAGCCCACGCGGCCATCGACTCGTCGTCGCTACTTAGATTCCCGATGCGACTGACTCACGGCCGACCGACGGTGGAGGGGTTATTTTGATGGCCATACTTCACCACGCCGGTTCGTGCGGGTCGGTAACGGTAGCGGAGGGAAGGGGAGTGGGACTCAGAACCGGCGGTGCAGGTATCGCTAGCCACTGATGTTAGCTGTGGCCGGGCATTGAACTCAGGTCGCAGGGTTCCTAGCGCAGCGCGCTAACCACAACGCTACCGCTCCCTATGTACATACACAGGCGCACAATCACACACACACAAAGGTCCCTCCCTCTGTGTAACCTTTTGTAGTGTTGGGACAAGTGCTGTTAGTGAGCTCCTATTAAGGCGCACTAGGTGTATTGTCTGGCGAGCACTACACCCGACCGCCTTCATCTCTCCATCAGGGATGTTTTCACACCGCTCTATAGATACCCATTTAAGGCTACGGTACAGCGCCCCAAAGTCACATCACAAAGACACGTAGTTACATGCACATTCACACACAAGTGTATGCACACACGCACACACACACACAGATATCAAGACAAAGATCCCCCCCCCTGTAGCTTGAACAGACTGTTGGGGCAAGTGCTGTTAGCGAGCACCTATGAAGGCCGGCACGGCACTCGTGGGGGTGGGTGGCCAGCATCACGCCCGGTCGCCTTTGTCTCCACAGTGGCGCTGTTTTTTTACACATCGCACCAGGTACTCGTTTGAGGCTGAGTCGACCTAGGGGGATCCCAGGCGTGGTTCAAATAAACGCCACTGCTATTGCATACATACATTCATTCGTACATACTAGTCCAGGGAATTTGGTACCAAAAAAAAAAATCCCCACTCAATATTTCAACAAGAGCCGCCCAATGCACACGTGGTTGAATGCGAGACGGTGCTGGTCCTTAATAAAACTGTCACGAAGCAGCGGCCCTTGATAAAGCTGCATGCGGCTCCGTAGCCCGCAGCTTTGCCGACGCCCCTGAACTAGACACATACAAAAAAAATGAAACATACAGATATATACACACACTTACACACGCAGACGTAACGGAGGCCCTTTTAATGAGCCGTGTAACTGGACACGCGCGCACAGGAAGAGCCATCACGCGCGTCGTGGATTGTGGTGGCGAGGAATCACTTCCCCCCCCACCCCCCCCCCACGGGAGCATCGCTCGCATCCTGCACTGGAGACTCGCCGAGCGCCGGTCCGTCTGGGGGGCGAATGCGCCCCTTGGCGACACGGGGGGGGGGGGGGGGGGGGTCTGACATAAAGGCAAAGTTACGCCGTGTTTGTTATAGGCTGCAAAGGGATGTTGTGGGGCGGCGTGGGGGGTGGGGCAAGTTCTGATATTAGGCGAGCATCTGTGATGTGCCCGGTACCAGTTGCACCCTCGGCTGCCTGTATCTCCCAAAGTTGTGATGTTCACGTACAGCAGCAGGTACAGACGATGGCTCAGGCCCAGGCTGGCCAGAGGTCAGCAGTCCGCAGGGCGAATGCCCGGTGGGGCCGGTCCATTGCGAGAGACGGTGGGCCGGGCTGTATGGGGAAAATTGCAAATGTGATCAGAAAATAAAAAAATGTAAATAAAAAAAATATTGTATTACCTTTAATGTGGACGCTTCATTGCTTATTTACGCTTTCAGTTGGCATTAAGTCCCGTATATTTGGCAGCCCCAAAGATTCAACCTCACCGGCCCAATTGTTTTATTGGTTATTTTTGGACCAGCCCAAATGGTCCAATGAAGTTGCCCTGCAATTTGGGCCCCTGTATGTTGAGAAATTCCTTGGCCCATTTTTTTGTCACTGGGTACAGAACTTATTTAAGGCCGAATCGACCTAGGTAATTCCAAGCCACGGGGGTGGGGGGTGAGGCAGCTGCAGAGGAGAATCCTCCCAGCTGAGCTGGCAGTAGAGTATTCTTAGGTTTTTTCGGTAAAGTCACGTAGGTAAAAAATTAAAATTAATAAAAATAAAATAAAAAATAAAATAACTGGCAGTAGAGGTTTGGGTCGTAGTAGAGGCAGGGGTTGGGATGGGGCCGATTCCACCGATGATCTTAAAGGCAGTGAGGGCGATGTTCTAGTTGATGCGGACTTGAATTTGGAAGCAGTAGTAGGGATTTGAGGAGCGTGATGACGTGATGATGTGGTATCAAAGGGACTTCTGGTCTCAATTCTGTCTCTTGATTATATGCTATAATACAATGCTCTCTTACTCGCTCTTGTCTCGGAGGCTTTTCTTGATGTTTTTTTTTATTTTCATATAAAAGGTTCGCTCATATTTTTGGTTGTATACACTGTAACAAGGCACCAGTGTCCTTTATTTAACTCGGCAACGGGCACACTGAGGTCAGCAATGTTTAAAGGCGTTGTAGGATGAGGCGGGTCGCTCGATGTGAGGTGACAAGGCACCACGTGGTGGCCTTCAGAGTTCCTGACAACACCTGGGGTGCGAGAGCGAACAAATTGAGGCCATGAAATAAAATATTTATAAATGTAAAAATTTCCACTTAAATCTTTTTGTTGCTGTGCTCACTCGCATATAAGAAACGTCGGCTTTCGCGGCCAATGCCATCGCGAAAGCCGACGTTGTTAAACTGACTATGGGGAGGATACTTTTCGCCTGATGATGCTAGTTGTAATTACCGGCGAAACGTCGTACTCTGTAAATGTTGCGGATGCAACTCTCCAACACGCCGGTTAGTGCTGTACTACTAACGAATTGGCACGTTCTATTTACGTGACAAACCTCACTAATTGGCTGTGTCGTATTATGGATAAGAAACGTGCACTACATTTTAAACGCCACTTATGCCGTGCGACTGCGAGTCTTTTCTGCTTCCGTAGCACCATCCTCCAAGTGCAGTACAGCTCTCGAGTGTGCAGACGGTGCAACTGCACAGTGCCGAACTACGGGTGTGTGTGTTGAACTTCTTTTGCACCGTACGTAGCCAACCGTGCTAATCGGAGATGCGGGAAAGGGTGAGAGAGGTAACAGGTGCCGGTCTATTGGCGGGGGGGGGGGGGCATTGGACAGGTGGCCTCATGAGCCCCCCCCCTCCCCCCGTTTCACTCTTTACAACCACAACAGCCGCCATTCGCGGTGACGTCACCACGGCGCTCGTGCCAGGCTATGTGCACTTGAAGGCCACGTGAAGTGTGGAACGCCCGCAGGCAGGAGGTCACGGGACAGACCCAGGTGCCATGGGTTGACTGACTTGAGATGACTGGCCGATGCACCAGCTGTGCCTCCCTAATGTACCAACTTGCTGTGTTTTAGCCGCCAAATCGCTCCGATCGTTGTTGTGAGCGTCGCTCCTCCGCCCTCCGTTGTTGCTGGAGGGCGACCGCCTCCAACTGCCCAGAGGCAGCGTCCTTCACGAGCCTCCTCCTCCACACTGGCCGATCTCGACACCGCTTGTACCGGTCATTGGCAAGTCCACTCAGCTCCACGTCCTCGCGTGCCACATCAGCTCCGTCAACTCTTCTCCAGCCCGTGCCGCGCCCGTACAACCACAGGACCCACGCCAGAGGTCGCCCGGCCGAGTACCTGATTGCGACCTCTGGGATGAAGCCATGTTGCAGGCGCGGGTGGGTTGATTCTAGGAACTTGAATTGTGAGAAGAGACAAGACGTTGGGAAATGAGTGACAAACAGTTACTCACGAGTGACTCACGGCTTACCCGTACCCGTATCCGGCCGCACCAGAGTCGCAAACGGGTACCCGTACCCGGCCGTACCCGTACCCTACCCGTACCCGGCCGGACCCACATGGCCGGATACGGGTAGGGTACGGGTATCGAGTACCTGATTGCGACCTCTGGGATGAAGCCATGTTGCAGGCGCGGGTGGGTTGATTCTAGGAACTTGAATTGTGAGAAGAGACAAGACGTTGGAAAATGAGTGACAAACAGTTACTCACGAGTGACTCACGGCCTACCCGTACCCGGCCGCACCAGAGTCGCAAACAGGTATCCGTACCCGGCCGGGTACGGGTAGCCGGGTATCGGGTAGGGTACGGGTATCGGGTACCCACGCCAACCCACGCCACGCCACTTTCACAGAGCCGTCCATCCCGACCGCACGACGTTGATTGTTTTTTTTAAAACTGCGCGCCGGGAATTTTCGGAATGGAAACGTTCCGTCTCATGAGATGATGTCGAGAGCACACAATGGGATATAATTGTGGGGTGGGGGGGGGAGATAATCCTGTTTCGAAGAGAAATACAGTTCAGCTCAAGGGACAGCGTCTAAGAGTCTCGTACTCCGGCTTCTAGGGGTACAAGGCGATGCTTATATAGTTCGCAAAAAGGTTTAGCTTCGATCGTGTTTGGATGAGCGACCACCGCGCACAAAAAAAAAACAAGTTGCTATTGGCTGCTGGCGGGGGGGGGGGGGCTCTGGTGTGGGCAGCGGAGAGCAGTAGAGAAAAATCCATTATTGTACTGTACTCTGCTCCCATGCCATCACCACGGCGCGCGAACCAGCGCGGGGTTAAGTAGGACACATAATCCACATGGCCCCACGTGACCCGCACGACGTGTGGAGGAGGCCCTCATCCAGCAGTGGATGGACAAAAAAGGCCTGTGCATGATGATGA